ATCAATACTTTATTTAAAAAGAGATGAATGTTTTCCCGCCCATACATGAGACTCATATATGGAATGTTGATTACACAAATGGTAGTTTAATTATTTTGCCTCAATATTTTCATTCCATTTTAAGTATGTTTTCATTTTTATTTAAATGTTACACCATTTAAGTCTTTAAATTAAATTAAATAAATTAATAGTAGTGAACCACTGAGAAATTATAGTATGGAAATAAAATACAGTACCATTTCAATATGAAAATAAAATTTAAAAACTACAAATTAATAAAGTATGGGCGGGATTAGAATGATTTATTTCAAAAAAAACTACGTACAAATTAATTAGTTATTTCAAAAAAAATATTATAATTTACAAGCACGAACGTGTAAAATTGGTAAGTTTTCTAATATAAATTAAAAAATAAATATGGTACGGTAAGTAAATGGTAACATTTAAATAAAAAAATAAAATAAAAAACTACAAATTAATATTAATACTATAATTTACAAGCATGGAAACGTTTTAAAAATGATAAGTGTTCTAATTAGAAAATTAGAAAATAAATATGGTATGATACGGTAAGCAAATGGCAACATTTAAAAATGAAAAAAAGAAAAAAGGTAAGTGTTCTAAAATAAATTAGGTAAGTGTTCTAAAATAAAAGAGAAAGTAAACTATATCTAAAAATGATAAATGTTCTAAAATAAATTAGAAAATAAATGTGGTTCGGTAACTAATTAGCACCATTTAAATACGAAAATAAAATAAAAAATTTCAAAATTAATATTAGTACTATAAATTACAAACATGAAAATGTTTTTAAAAAGGTAAGTGTTCTAATTAGAAAATTAGAAAATAAATACGGTACGGTACGTCAGCACGATAAGCAAATGGTACAATTTTAATACAAAAATAAAATAAATGATAAGTGTTCTAAAATAATTTAGGTAAGTGTTCTAAATAAATTAGAAAATAAAATAAATATCAAAATGGTAAGTGCTCTAAAATATATTAGAAAATAAATACGGTACGGTAAGTAAATGATACCATTTAAATAAAAAATAAAATAGAAAAAACAATAGATTAATACTATTAATTAATACTACAATTTACAAGCATAGAAACATGTAAAAATGGTAAGTGTTATCAAATAAATTAAAAAAGAAATACGATACAGTAAGTAAATTAAAAAAGAGATACGGTACAGTAAATAAATAAAATTTACCCCGTTTTCTTGTTCTCCTAAATAGGGATGTTGGGTCAACTTGAAAACTTTTTTTCTAGAACGAAAGGAGTGCTTTAAAGAGATTATATTGTACTACTTAGTTCCCGGGTATTTATGTACATTATTTTTTACACAAGGACCAAAAAGAGAAAAGAAAAAAGTGAACAGTATACCCTTCTAGTTTTCTACTTTTTGGGTGAAGGAATTATTGTATGTAATATTAAGACAAAGAGTGATGCTTACATGGTTCTAAGTCCACATTTAAAATATGACTCTCCTCACCTTTTTCATGGGCTTTCATTTAGATATTGAAGAATGAATATTTTCCAATGAATAATTATGGGAGATTACATGTGTATATATACAAAGGTTTCCTAATGATAATAGGAAACAATAATTAATACACCTATACAAATATGGTAGCTACCAATATACATAAATATTAAATATAGTAAGAATATATTTAACATGCTCCCAACAGCACTGATGAAGATTGCCTCACGCCCAAACAAGCTCGAAACTCGGAGAAAATCATGGAGGGTAGTCCCTTGGTGAAGATGTCTGCATACTGTAGAGAAGAAGGGACATGAAGGACCCGTATTTGACCCAGGGCTACTCTGTCGCGCACAAAGTGAATGTCAACCACAATGTGCTTTGTGCGCTGATGCTTGACAGGATTTGCAGAAAGGTAGAAAGCACTGATATTGTCACAGAAGACAAGTGTGGAGTGAGTCAGGAGTTTCCGGAGTTCAAGAAGAAGATTCTGTACCCAACTGACCTCTGCGACTGCATTGGCAACAGCTCGATATTTTGCTTCGGCACTGGATCGATAGGTGGTGAGTTGGTGCTTGGAGGACCAGGAAATGAGATTGTCGCCTAGAAAAATGCAGTAACCGGATGTCGAGCGGCGAGTGTTTGGACAGGCGGCCCAATCATCATCTGAATACGCCCGCATATGATCTATCTGAGAAGGTGAAATGGTGATGCCATGAGTGGGTGTGCCGTGTAGGTGGCGCAGAATGCGCTTCATGGCTGTGACATGTGGCACACGAGGATCATGAAGAAAGAGACATAGCTGCTAAATGGCATAGGTAATGTCTGGACGAGTGAAAGTGAGGTAATGCAAGTGCGCCCACAATGGAGCGATATAGAGAGGGATCTAGGGCGTGGGGACCGACGGTGGCTGAAAGTTTCCCACGGGTGTCCACGGGTGTAGACACTGGTTTGCACGAAGTCATGTCGGCCCATTCAAGGATGTCGTAGATGAACTGAGTCTGAGTGAGGAACAAGTTGTGAGAGGTCCGCTGGACATTGATCCCAAGGAAAAAGTGAAGGTCACCCATATCTGTCATAGCAAACTCCCCTTTTAGTCGTTTTGTAAGCTGCTGAAGGAGAGCAGGGGATGAGGCCGTGAGTACAATATCATCAATATAAAGGAGAAGCAGAGCCATGTCCTGACCGCGACTGTAGACAAATAAGGAGGTGTCGCTGTTGCACTGCACCCACTGAAGACGAAGGCTGCGGTGTAGACAGTATTTGTGAGGTAGCCCTGCAAAAAAGCATTTTTGACGTCAAACTGGTGGATCGGCCATCCTCTAGACACGGCAAGGCTCAAGACGATGCGGATAGTGGCCGGTTTGACAACTGGGCTAAAGGCCTTGTCATAGTCAATGCCATGGCGTTGATGGAACCCACGAACAACCCATTGAGCTTTGTACCTAGATAATTCACCTGTTGGGCCAAGTTTGTGGTGGAAAAGCCATTTCTCGGAGATTACATCACTAGTACAAAAACAACCAAATAAATCGATTTATTTGAATCGGCTAGCGGAATAAACGATTTAAAAGCTAAAAAAATTCGCCAACCGCTTAGCATTTAAATCGGTTATTCATAATAACCGATGCAAAAGGGTATTTGCATCAGTTATCAGGAATAACCGATTTAAATGCCGAAACCCTTTTAAATCGGTTATTCCTAATAACCGATGCAAATACCTTTTTGCATCGGTTATTAGGAATAACCAATTTAAAAGAGGTTGTTAAATTGGAGGGCTTTTGCATCGGTGTTTCTTAAAAACCGATCCAAACTTGTGGGCGTATATTTTACGCTTCCTGAACCTCACTACGTTTCTCATCTTTCTTCTTAAGTCCCCCAAATCTTTTTATCATCACACATCACAAAGAAATCCGATTTCCCCCAAATCTTTTACAAAATCCGGAGGAAATCACTACTCGGTGATGTTTCTGAGGTCTGACGGCATGAGTTGGAAGATGAAGAGCTATTCGATCATAGATCTGAAATTCTTATTATGTTATTCGATCATATATAGATCTAAAATTCCTATTCGATCATAGATCTTTTACAAATCTGAAATTCTTATTATGCTATTCGATTATAGATCTGTAATTCGTCGGTCAACGGACTTTCATCTCGTTTTCCAAAGCGCATCCCGATGTTGGAAGAGGAAGAGCTTGAATCAAGCAATGAATCTGGTCAGATAGGGTTGGATGCTCCCAAACTCATCCTCGAGCCGAGCCATCAGAAAGCAATCTGGAACAAGAAGTTCGCCTTGCTCCGGTCATCAGAGAGCGTGGTCGACTCCATTGACCGCTGGATTTCCTTGACTGCATGCAAGTACAGGTTCGTTTGGCTTGAGTTCAAATCTGAAGCCCTAGTAGCAGCGATTCGCCACCATCAACTTTTTTCTTAAAATTTGATGTGTAGGATATGTTGAAACACGGGTTTGTCACGTTTTCGTACTAAAGGCGTGTTTGTTTATGACAGGTTTTGATAATGCCAAACCGCCGTGATCAAGTCAAACATTGAATATACAAGGCGAAGAATGAAGACAAGAACAAGAGCTAAACGAAGACCAAGAACGAAGACCTAAATCTTAGCATCGTTGAGTCGGTCTTTATTGTGATCAAGACCGACCCAATCTTTACACCTTGGCTCTTTAGGCTAAAATCCTTCATTGCATTTCTTACTTCATAAGAATGTTTTTCAAACTTGTTTAAGTCATTAAAAACACTTGGTGTTTGCCCAAACCAAAAACCAAGCCATCCAGTGTCCGGCTTTCAGAAACCGGCGTTCGGCCTTCGGTTATCGGCATTGGTTTTTGGCGTCCGAACCAACCAAGTGGTTTTCAACTTTTTATGATTGGTTTTCACTCTTTGGCATGTTTAAACGGTTCTCCAACAAAAACACTTTGAAAACCATCTTTCGCTTTTGGTCGTTTGACAAAAACCACGCAAAACGGCGTAAACTTGGCTAGCCGTGGTTTTTACTCAAATGACGTGGTTTTTAAAGAAACTCACTTGATTTCTTAGCCAAATACATTAAATAAGTATTTTAAACACTTGGTTTTTATTTTGGAGAACTTTGGATTTTTCTGTCGGTTTTTGCAGCGGTTGGCTAGGCCGTGGTTAAGGCAAAGACCATGGTTTTTGGCTAACCACCCACCCAGCGATGGGAAGTTCTTCCCATCGATGGGTAAGCGGTCCCTTAGCCAAACCAACTTCCAGAACCATGCCAAACAGCGATGGGAAGTTCTACCCATCGCTGTTAAAGCCTTGGTGCAACATTAACACAAGGCAGAACAACCTTGCCCAGCGATGGGAAACCTATCCCATCGATGGGTACCCAGCGATGGTAAGGATAAACCATCGATGGGAAGGCATGACCGTTGGAAGTCATTTAAGGTTGATTCTTTCCTTGTTTGGAAGTCAACCTCCCACCCAGCGATGGGAAGCTTGTACCCATCGATGGGTAGGTAACCGTTGGCTTCAAAACTGAAGGAAAATTGGCTTACCAGTGATGGTTGAGTCCAAACATCGATGGGAAGCCAATATCCTGCAGATCCTATTTTTAATCAACCCCATAAATCAAGCAAATCACCCCTTTAATGCATTGGTCCGTTGGAGCCTATTTTGGCACTATAAAAAGGGGTGTTTGGGTCTGCTTTACAAATCAATTCACTTCACAATTCTCCTACTTTCATTGCATTCAAACAACATTCTTTTCCTTAGCTTTTTAGAGCCATTTTGTGTGAAGGTTGAGTTGTTCTTGAGCGTACTTAGTTTACTCATTATCTACTCTATAAGAGAGTCTCGTTCTTGAGTGAAATTGTGTTCTTAGACACGTTGAGAGAAAGTATTTCTCTCGTTTGATTCAAAGGAAGGGTTGTTTCCTTTGAAGAATTCGTTGAGGTTCGTGTGACTCGAACTCTCAAGTTGTAAGGGTTTGTTAAGCACCGTTAAGCTTAACGAGATAGTAGTGTAGCTCGAGAGAGTCTCTCGGGAGGCAGGATTAGCCACAAGTTGTGGTGAACCAGGGTAAAATTCGGTGTGCCCCTTACTTATCTTTTAATTTTTAATTCCTGCGATTTCTTTGATCAAACGCTATTCACCTCCCCTCTAGCGTTGGTCTATTATTCTAACAATTGGTATCAGAGCCTAACTCGCGTCCAAACTTAACCGTTTGAGAGTAAAGCGATCATGGGTTCTTCTTCTAGAAATCTTTATGCAGGAATTGGAGAAGGTCAATCAACCTCTAGGCCACCGCTTTTTGATGGCACCGACTACACATATTGGAAAGAGCGGATGAGAATTTATATCCGCTCAACCAACTTTCAGTTGTGGTTGGTCATCAAGAATGGCGAAGAAATTCCAATGAAGAAGGTCGGTGAAAAACTTGCCCAAAGACCGAGGACAAATTTGATGCCAAGGACATCAAAAAGGTGGAGAACTACGCCAAGGCAATCAACATGTTGTACTGTGCGGTCAATCCTGATGATTATCGCAAGATCTCTTGCTGCACCACTGCAAAAGAAATGTGGGACAAGCTAGAAGTCACGTATGAAGGTACGGACCAAGTTCGGGAAGCCAAAATTGACTTCCTAACGCAGGAGTACGAGATGTTCAGGATGAAGGAAGGCGAAAAGATCGATGACATGTTCGATCGGTTCTCAAAGATCATCAACGACCTTCACGCTCTCAAGAAGACGTACGCCAACAAGGATCTTGTGAGGAAAATCCTGCGGAGTCTCACACCCGAATGGAGATCAAAGGCTGACGCAATTTACGAATCCATCGGAGTCTCCAATGTCACCATCGACGGGCTAAGAGGTAACCTCAAAACTTATGAATCTAATATTCTAACCCCATCTTTGGATGAACAAAAGAAGAAGGGAATAGCACTGAAAGCAACCAAGGAGACCGTGGAAGAAGACTCAAGCGATGATGACAACGAGTTCGGACTCGTCATCAAGAAATTCCACAAATTTATGAAGAAGGAATTTGAGCGCAAAGGAAGAAAGCACGACGGTCCCCCGAAGTGCTATGGCTGTGGTGAGATAGGCCACATCAAGCCGAGGTGTCCAAAAGGCAAAAGCGGCAAGGACAAACCTGGCTTCAAAAAGCAACGCGCCTACATCTCATGGGCTGGCGACTCCGGGGATGAGTCAACGGATCAAGAAGAGGAAGAAGCCGCCAACCTCTGTCTCATGGCACACGAAGACCACGTCGACGAAGTACAAGAGCTATGTACCCCTTCTTCCGACTCTTACACTTTTGAAGAGATGCAAGAAGCTCTTCGAGAGCTTTATGATGAATTTGTTAGCGCTTCTAAAACCAACAAATCATTAAAGAAACGTGTTTCAACTCTTGAAAATGATTTTGAAAAACTAGAAAAAGATAATGAAAAGTTGAAACAAGAAAATAAATTTTATGGTAAAAGAAGTGCTGACAAACCGGAAAGCTCTTCAAGTGAATGTGAATCTTGCAAAGCTTTAAAAGAAAAAGTTGCAAAACTTGAGAGTACGGTTAAGAAGTTTAATACACCACACAAAGATCTCAATTTACTCCTAGACACTATGCATTTTTCTAAGGAAGGAATAGGTTTTGATAAAAATGAATCTAAGGATAAAAACGTTGAGCATACACCTAGACAACCTACTAAGGCTCAACGCAAGAAAGTTAAAAATCAGGATAATAGAAAATCTAGTCAACCTAAGGACACTAGACAACCTAGACAAAAACCTAGGAATGAAAATGTGCATGCTAGACAACCTAGTAAAAATTATCAAAATGATTTTATGCATAAAAATAATAGACAAAATAATGCTAGAACACCTAGAAGAGAGAATTTTCAAAAACCAACATTTTCTCAAAATAGGATGAATATGGTTAGGCCCCCTAGCAACTATTATCAACCTAGGAGGATGCACAACCCAAACGTAGTTTGTCACTACTGCAATAGGATAGGACATATAGCTCCCGTTTGCTTTACTAGACATAGGCATTGGGCACAAAAAGAATCACACTACCACTTTGCACCTAACACTCAAGGACCCAAAAAGACTTGGGTACCTAAATCTTATTAAATCATTTTTGTAGGAATGCTTGAAGGCGTCAAGTGTACTTTGGTACCTTGATAGCGGATGCTGCAAGCACATGACCGGAGATGCATCCAAGTTCCTACAAATCAAACCCGCCAAAGGAGGAAACGTAGTCTTTGGAGATAGTAGCAAGGGAAAAATTATCGGCATCGGTTCAGTAGGTAAGTCCGAAGACTCCTCTATAGATAATGTCTTGCTAGTCAAAGGTCTTAAACACAATCTCTTGAGCATAAGTCAATTATGTGACAAGGGAAACCATGTGACCTTCGATTCAAAATCATGCACGGTAGAATGCCTTAGTGACAATAAGGTTATTCTACGTGGTGATAGAATCGATAACATTTATATGGTTAACTTAGACAAATATCCTTCCGGCTTTGCTAAGTGCCTCATGAGTAAGGAGGAAGACACTTGGTTATGGCACCGAAGAGTAGCTCACATGAACATGAACCTCTTGAATAAATTGGTTTCACAAGACTTAGTAATTGGCATTCCAAAACTCAAGTTTGAAAAAGACACCATTTGTGATGCATGTCAAAAAGGGAAGCAAGTCCGGGCTTCGTTCAAGTCTAAAAACGTTGTTTCAACGTCTAGACCGCTTCAACTTTTGCACATGGATCTCTTTGGTCCTTCTAGAACGAAGAGTTTTGGTGGTAATTACTTTGCGTTTGTGATTGTCGATGACTACTCTATGTTTACATGGACCTTGTTTCTTACTCATAAAAGTGAGGCATTTCATGTTTTCAAAAATTTTCTAAAGAAAGTTCAAAATGAAAAAGAAACAACCATAGTAGCCATAAGAAGCGACCATGGGGGAGAGTTCGAACGAAATCTATTCTCAGATTTATGTGACGAACTTGGCATTGATCATAATTTCTCAGCCCCACGTACACCACAACAGAATGGAGTGGTGGAACGCAAAAATAGATGTCTCGAAGAGATGGCTAGAACTATGATCAATGAGGCAAAAATCCCTAAGTATTTTTGGGCGGATGCCGTGAGTACCGCGAGCTACGTGTTAAACCGAGCCGTCATTCGACCGATACTCATGAAAACGCCTTATGAACTGTACAAAAAGGGAGAAAGCCAAACCTTTCCCATCTTCGAGTCTTTGGTTGCAAATGCTTTATTCATAACAATGGCAAAGACAATTTAGGCAAATTTGATGCCAAGTCGGATGAAGGAATTTTTCTGGGTTACTCATTACGTAGCAAGGCCTATAGAGTCTTCAATAAACGTACTTTGACTATTGAAGAGTCCCCTCACGTTGTTTTTTCCGAAGATAATCCTCGCTTGGCGAGAAAGGATATTTGGGATGATCTTGCAGATTCATTAGAGAGAATACACGTTGATGACGATGAAGAGAACACGGGAATATACACCAACACGCAGCCGCAAACTGAGGAGATACCTCAAGCGACTAACCAAGGTGGAGAAGAAAATCAAGAGGAAGAAGAAGAACAAGAGAAACACGAAGAAGAAGCAACCGAGCTTCCCGTCGCATGGAGAACAAACAAGAATCATCCGCTTGACCAGGTAATCGGCAGCATCAACCGCGGGGTAAGCACTCGTAACTCACTTAGGGACACCGTAGGTCACATGGCTTTTGTTTCTCAAATTGAACCTACAACCATTTCCGAAGCAATAAATGATGAACATTGGACCTTGGCTATGCAAGAGGAGCTAAACCAATTCAAACGGAATGACGTTTGGGAATTGGTGCCAAGGCCCGATGATCGTACGATTATTGGTACAAAATGGGTGTTCCGTAACAAACTTGATGAAAATGGAATAATCACTAGAAACAAAGCTAGGCTCGTAGCTAAAGGCTACAATCAAGAAGAAGGCATTGATTTTGAGGAAACCTATGCACCCGTAGCACGTTTAGAAGCTATTCGTTTACTTCTTGCTTTTGCTTCGTCTATGGATTTTAAACTTTATCAAATGGATGTTAAGAGTGCCTTCCTCAATGGTTTTATTCAAGAGGAAGTGTATGTTGACCAGCCCCCGGGGTTTGAAGACTTTGAGTTTCCCGATCATGTCTTCAAACTCAAGAAAGCGCTCTACGGTCTTAAACAAGCACCCCGTGCTTGGTACGAACGTTTGAGTAAATTTCTTTTGGATAGTGGTTTCCAAAGGGGAAAGGT